GAATCAAACATGTAGTTGGGTCATCACTGTAGACATGAAACATACAGTTGGGTCATCTCTAAGGGAATCAAGCATACAGGTGGGTCATCTCTAAGGGAATCAAACATACAGTTGGGTCATCCTGAAGGGAATCAAGCATACAGATGGAACATCTCTAAGGGAATCAAACATACAGTTGGGTCATCCCTGTGGACATGAAACATACAGTTGTGTCATCTCGAAGGGAATCAAACATACAGTTGGGTCATCTCGAATGGAATCAAACATACAGTTGGGTCATCTCGAAGGTAATCAAACATACAGTTGGGTCATCCCTGTGGACATGAAACATACAGTTGGGTCATCTAGAAGGGAATCAAACATACAGTTGGGTCATCTCTAAGGGAATCAAGCATGCAGGTGGGTCATCCTTATGGACATGAAAGATACAGTTGGGTTATCTCTAAGGGAATCAAACATACAGTTGGGTCATCTCGAAGGGAATCAAGCATACAGGTGGATCATCTCTAAGGGAATCAAACATACAGTTGGGTCATTCCTATGGACATGAAACATACAGTTGGGTCATCTCAAAGGGATTCAAACATACAGTTGGGTCATCCCTGTGGACATGAAACATACAGTTGGGTCATCTTTAAGGGAATCAAACATACAGTTGGGTCATCCCTATGGACATGAAACATACAGTTGGGTCATCTCTAAGTGAATCAAACATACAGTTGGGTCATCCCTGTGGACATGAAACATACAGTTGGGTCATCTCGAAAGGAATCAAACATACAGTTGGGTCATTTATAAGGGAATCAAACATGTAGTTGGGTCATCCCTGTGGACATGAAACATACAGTTGGGTTATATCTAAGGGAATCAAACATACAGTTGGGTCATCTTTAAGGGAATCAAACATACAGTTGGGTCATCACTGTGAACATGAAACATACAGTTGGGTCATCTCTAAGGGAATCAAACATACAGTTGGGTCATCTCGAATGGAATCAAACATACAGTTGGGTCATCTCGAAGGTAATCAAACATACAGTTGGGTCATCCCTGTGGACATGAAACATACAGTTGGGTCATCTAGAAGGGAATCAAACATACAGTTGGGTCATCTCTAAGGGAATCAAGCATGCAGGTGGGTCATCCTTATGGACATGAAAGATACAGTTGGGTTATCTCTAAGGGAATCAAACATACAGTTGGGTCATCTCGAAGGGAATCAAGCATACAGGTGGATCATCTCTAAGGGAATCAAACATACAGTTGGGTCATTCCTATGGACATGAAACATACAGTTGGGTCATCTCAAAGGGATTCAAACATACAGTTGGGTCATCCCTGTGGACATGAAACATACAGTTGGGTCATCTTTAAGGGAATCAAACATACAGTTGGGTCATCCCTATGGACATGAAACATACAGTTGGGTCATCTCTAAGTGAATCAAACATACAGTTGGGTCATCCCTGTGGACATGAAACATACAGTTGGGTCATCTCGAAAGGAATCAAACATACAGTTGGGTCATTTATAAGGGAATCAAACATGTAGTTGGGTCATCCCTGTGGACATGAAACATACAGTTGGGTTATATCTAAGGGAATCAAACATACAGTTGGGTCATCTTTAAGGGAATCAAACATACAGTTGGGTCATCACTGTGAACATGAAACATACAGTTGGGTCATCTCTAAGGGAATCAAACATACAGTTGGGTCATCTCTAAGGGAATCAAACATACAGTTGGGTCATCCCTGTGGACATGAAACATACAGTTGGGTTATCTCGAAGGGAATCAAACATACAGTTGGGTCATCTCTAAGGGAATCAAGCATGCAGGTGGGTCATCCCTATGGACATGAAAGATAAAGTTGGGTCATCTCTAAGGGAATCAAACATACAGTTGGGCCATCTCGAAGGGAATCAAGCATACAGGTGGATCATCTCTAAAGGAATCAAACATACAGTTGGGTCATTCCTGTGGACATGAAACATACAGTTGGGTCATCTCGAAGGGAATCAAACATACAGTTGGGTCATCCCTATAGACATGAAACATACAGTTGGGTCATCTCGAAGGGAATCAAACATACAGTTGGGTCATCTCTAAGGGAGTCAAGCATACAGGTGGGTCATCTCTAAGGGAATCAAACATACAGTTGGGTCATCCCTGTGGACATGAAACATACAGTTGGGTCATCTCGAAGGGAATCAAACATACAGTTGGGTCATCCCTGTGGACATGAAACATACAGTTAGGTCATCCCTTAGGGCATCAAACAAATAGTTGGGTAATCCCTAAGGGCATCAACGATGGCATCAAACATATACTCACTGGCATCTTTTTTTAGGTACACCTGTTCGATTGCTTAGTAACACAAATTGCTAATTAGCCAATCATATGGTAGCAACTCAATGCACTTAGACAGGTAGATGTGGTGAAGATGACTTGTTGAAGTTCAAACCGAGCATCAGAATGAGGAAGAAAGGGGATTTAAGTGACTTTGAAATTAGTATGGTATTCGGTGCCAGGCGAGCTGGTCTGAGTATTTCAAAATCTGCTGATCTACTCTTACAAACATCTCTCAGTGTGTGTGTGTGTGTGTGTGTGTGTGCTGGGGGGGGGGGTTACAGAGGCACATTAAAGGCTTCTTTCTGGCAACTCAACCATGCAGCTCATTTTTGTTCAAGTATCGTCGTATTGTGCTCTTTGAATCAACCACACCACCTTTTTTTCCAGAGCAGCCTGTATTTCTCCTGAGGTTACCTGCGGGTTTTTCTTTGTATCCCGAACAATTATTTTTGGCAGTTGTGGCTGCAATCTTTCGTGGTCTACCTGACCTTGGCTTGGCATCAAGGGATCCCCGATCTTTCCACTTGTTAATAAGTGATTGGACAGTGCTGACTGGCATATTCAAGGCTTTAGCTATCTTTTTATATTCTTTTCCATCTTTATAAAATTCCAGTACCTTGTTACACAGGTCTTTTGACAGTTTTTTCTTCTCCCCTTTGCTCAATATCTAGCCTGCTCAGTGCGTCCATGTGAGAGCTAACAAACTCATTGACTATTTATTACACTAATTGCAATTAAAAATCCACAGATGTGGGAAATTAACCTTTAGTTGCCATTTTAACCTGTGTGTCACCTTGCGTGTCTATACCAAGGCCGAACATTCTAGGGGATGGAAACTGTTGATCTGGGCCATTTAGGTGATTTCTGTTATCATTATGATTTAAAAAAGAGCCACACAACTATGTGATAATAAATGTCTTCATATGATCAATATCCTTAAATAAAAGACAATGTGTATATACAGTGGATATATAAAGTCTACACACCCCTGTTAAAACGTCAGGTTTCTGTGATGTAAAAAAATGAGACAAAGATAAATAATTTCAGAACTTTTTCCACCTTTAATGTGACCTATAAACTGTACAACTCAGTTGAACAACAAACTATAATTGTTTAGGTGGAGGGAAGTAAAAATAAAAAACAAAGTTAAGTAGCAGAGGGGATTGTTAATTAGTTTAATCTGCTTTGGTGTTAATGAAATTAACAACATGCACACTAGATGGGCAACAATGAGACAACCCCCAAAACAGGAATGGTTTTACAGGTGGAGGACACTGACATTTTTTTCCCTACTCATCCTATCTGACTGTTTTTCACTAGTTTTGCATTTGGCTAGGGTCAGTGTCACTACTGGTAGCATGAGGAGATACCTGGACCCTACAGAGGTTGCACAGGCAGTCCAACTCCTCCAGGATGGCACATCAATACAGAAGGTTTGCTGTGTCTCCCAGAGCAGTTTCGAGAGCATGGAGGAGATTCCAGGAGACAGGCAGTTACTCTAGGACATCTGGAAAGGGCCATAAAAGGGCTATAGAACCCATCAGCAGGACCAGTGTCTGCTCCTTTGTGCAAGGAGGAACAGAATGAGCACTGCCAGAGCCCTAAAAAATGATCTCCAGCAGGCCACTGGTGTGAATGTCTCTGATCAAACAATCAGAAACAGACTTCATGAGGGTAGTCTGAGGGCCCGACGTCCTCTAGTGGGCCCTGTGCTCATTGCCTGGTACCATAGATATGAGAGCAGGTTCACCCTGATCACATGTGCCAGACGTGAAAGGGCCTGGAGAAGCCGTGGAGAACGTTATGCTGCCTGTAACATCATTCAGCATGACCATTTTGGTGGTGGGTCAGTGATGGTCTGGGGAGGCATGTCCATGGAGGAACGGATAGACCTCTGCAGGCTAGACAATGGCACCCTGACTGCTATTAGGTATCGGGATGAAATCCTTGGACCCATTGTCAGACCCTACGCTGGTGCAGAGGGTCCTGGGTTCCTCCTGGTGCCTGACAATGCCCGGCCCCATGTGGGGAGAGTATGCAGGCAGTTCCTGGAGGATAAAGGAAATGATACCATTGAATGGCCCCCATGGCCACCTGACCTAAATCCAATAGAACACCTCTGGGATGTCATGTTTCAGTCCATCTGATGCCACCAAGTTGTAGCTCATAATTTTCATTTCCATCAAACGATGGGGCATCCTTACATTCCTAACACATTACCCCATCCAGATCAGTATAGATATCCAGCGTGATATTTTTCCCCATTGAGATCTGATGTGTTTCTAAAGTGTTCCTTTAATTTTTTTTGAGCAGTGTACGTGTATGTGTCACTTACTACTGACCCCTCAAGTCTGCATCAAATACTACTAACGACCTCTGCATCACCTACTCCCAACCCCTGAACTCTGCCTCACTTACTCCTGAACATTTGCATCACTACTGAACCCCTGAACTTTGCGTCTCTTTAACCACCTCCCGCCCGCCATATAGTCCAATGACGGGCACAAGGTGGTTCTCTCATTTTGGGAGGACATCATATGACGTCCTCCCATTCTCACCGGGCATGAACAGCTCAGGGAGTTCGCAGCGTGGCGATCGGTGGTGCGCTGTGTCCCTCGGACACATCGGATCACCGATCCACAGAAAGAGCCGAAGATGTCGGCTCGGTCATGTGATCAGCTGTGTCCAATCACATCTGATCACATGTAAACAGGGAAATACTGGTTATCGGCATTTCTCTCCTCACGAACTGTCACGCTGACAGAGGAGAGGAGAGCCGGTAATCGGCATTACGCGGAGGGGACATGTACACTGATCATCAGGGCACTGATGATCAGTGTGCCCTGATGATCAGTGTGGCCCCAGAAGTGCCACCTGTCAGTGTCCATCAGTGCCAGTTGTCAGTGCTGAACAGTGCCATTGCCCATCAGTGCCACATATCAGTGCCTACCAATGCACATCAATGCCACATACCAGTGCCCATCTGAGCTGCCTTTCAGTGTCACCCATCAGTGCCAGTCAGTGCCACCTATCAATGCAAATCAGTGCCACCTATCAGTGCTGCCAATCAGTGCCACCTATCAGTGCCAGTCAGTGCCGCCTATCAGTGTGCATCAGTGCCAGTCAGTGAGGCTTAACAGTGCCAGTCAGTGCCGCCTAACAGTTCCAGTCAGTGCCGCCTAACAGTGCCAGTCAGTGTCACCTATCAGTGCCGCCTATCAGTGTCCATCAGTGCTGCCTATCAGTGCCCATCACTGCAGCCTCATTAGCGCACATCAGTGAAGGAGAAAAATCACTTATTTACAAAATTTTACAACAAAAACTAAGAAAAAAAACTTTTTTTTTCCCTAAATTTTCAGCAGTTTTTGGTTTGTTTAAGAAAAAAATTAAAAACCCAGAGGTGATTAAATACCACCAAAAGAAAGCTCTGTCACAAAAAAAATGATAAAAAGTTTGTATGGGTACAGTGTTGCATGACCGCGCAATTGTCATTCAAAGTGTGACAGCGCTGAGAGCTGCAAATTGGCCTGGACAGGAAGGGGGTATAAGTGCCCTGTAGGCAAGTAGTTAAGCCACAGCCAGTATTCAGCGCAATGAAAATCACACCCAATTTTTGATGCGTGCAGATAAGAAAAAAGGTCTTACAGTGGTGGGGCAGATGATCAGGGGGAACAGATGAGTAGGTGGGTTCAGTGTTAGAACAGATGAGAAGGGGGTTCAGCAGTGAGATAGAAGAGCAGGTGGGTACAGTGGTGAGGCAGGTGAGCAGGAGGGTACAGTGGTGGACAGAAGAGCAGGGGGTACAGAGGTGGGGCAGATATGCAGAGGGTTACAGTGGTGGATGAGATGGATGAGCAATGGGGAACAGTGGTGGAATGGATGAGCAATGGGGAACAGTGGTGGAATGGATGAGCAAGGGGGGTACAGTGGTGTAACAGATTTGCAGGGGTGTACAGTGATTTGAGGTGTGAAGTTGCAAGAATTGGGGCTGATCTGAGAACTGGAAGTGCATATATTGGGACTGATCTGAGGTGTGAAAGTGCAGGATGTTCATTTCTCGCTATTACTCAAATAGTTTACAGCATTTAGTTTATAAAAATCCCTTTTCATGATTGGGAGCAGGGGCGGACTGACCATTCGAGCACTCGGGCACTGCCCGAGGGCCTGGGGTCAGTAGGGGCCCCATGAAATGCCCCTGGTACCTTTTATAGGCTTTTTTGGGTGTGCTTTGAGTGTGGGCAAGGATACAGGGGCCCCATGATCCCCTATTGCCCGGGGGCCCCATGAGTTGTCAGTCCACCCCTGATTGGTAGTGTGTTGTAAACACTTTGTTTCATAAAACCTGCACTCTTAATTTCTTTTAAAACATCTTTCGCCACATTGTGATGAAAAGGTTGCCTACCCCTGCTCTAATCATTGATAATGTATCAGTATTTCCCTTACCTTTCCGGTACAATTTCTAAAATATACCCCAATCACTAACAATTTATGAATTTTACTCAGTTGCTAACAATTTATTTTAATACCCCCTAATTAATTTCTATTTTAATTATGTTAATAACGTCAATTACTAATACTTTATAAATATACCCTGAATCACTAACAAAATGATTTTAAGTAGATCATAGATCACTAATTTATAAACATACCTCGTATCATTAAGAGTTTATAATCATGCATCTTTCACTAAGAATCTATATATACTGTAACAATTTCTAAATATACACACTTAATCACCAAAAATGTATAAACATACCCCTAGGTTTATATTCCAACTCATGGCTTTGGGTACAAATTTACACCCCCCTTTCCAAATCTAACACATAACTGTCCCCTTGGCAGTTTGAAAGAAAAAGTTATATTCACATTCAGTTAAGAGCAGGGGCAGACTGACCATTTGGAAACTCGGGCACAGCCCGAGGGCCCGGGGTCATGAGATGCCCCTGGTACCTTTTTCATAGGCTTTTTTGAGTTTGGGCAAGGACACAGGGGCCCCATGATCCCCTATTGCCTGGGGGCCCCATACGTTGTCAGTCCGCCCCTGGTTAAGAGCTGTCCCTCACAGTACCTGCTCTCCGCCACAAGACGTCTTCAGTTTTCCAGGTTGAATGACACTCGTCATCATTCAGCCCTAAGACCAAGGACATATTGTGAGTGTGAGGGGGTATCACTATGGTGCCCTACACTCACAGTGTAGTGCCGAAGACGGAAGAGGACCCTGTGCGTCATAAGGTTGGTCTGAAGACATGGTGAAAAGGTAAGTATATGCTAAAACATAAAGGTTGTTGGGGGGGGCAAGGGTTATGGAGGTCCTTGAGGGGGAGAAAGGAGCCCAGAGTTTGTTTTTAACATGGAAATCCAGCCAAAATTAATGCTTGGGAAGGGGGAAAAAGGCAAGGGTTAGGCCAATCTTTGAGAGGGAAAAGGGAGCTTGAAGTTGGGTTTTTACATGGAAATGCCGCTAAAACGTCTTTTCAATATCGGAGAGAGTGGGCACAATTTAGTACCCCTGTCAGGTTCTTAATGTTGTCTGCATAAGAGGGCTTGCAACTAGCTAGATGTTGGCGTCAAGATGTCCAGACATGTCCATGCCCTGCTCCTCTCGTGTAAGAACAGTGACCCTCCTGCTGAGACTTTAACCCTTCTAATGCTTGTGCCCCTATACCAGAGGCATTCCCGGTCGTTAACCTTTATATCCCCTAAGGAAGGAATGTTTACACATAAAGTTGCTGCACTTTACTGGTGGTACTTGGGAAATGGCGCAAACAGTCACATCACAGTGACACACTATTCCATGTCTCTTGACAGTACATAATCAATCACATGTAGTTAAGTGTGAAAGCATTGTGCAGCCATTAAAGTAAGCCATCTTCCCTTGACAGTCTCTCTACACCTGGGGTCAATAGTACTTACTGGGATAGGATCTCTGCAGTCACCTCCTCCATAGGTACACCTGTCCTGCGATCGTCCAGGGGGCTAGCTTCACTCAGGGAACTCTTGGCCTGGCCTAAAAGGCATTTTGCAGACCACCCTAGCCCCCACCTTCATAAGGGTCAGAAAGTCTACGGCCAGCTCATCTGTAGGTCTCAGGGGCAGACTGACAACTCATGGGGCCCCCAGGCAATAGGGGATCATGGGGCCCCTGTGTCCTTGCCCAAACTCAAAAAAGCCTATGAAAAAGGTACCAGGGGCATCTCATGGGGCCCCCTACTGACCCCGGGCCCTCGGGCAGTGCCCGAGTTTCCAAATGGTCAGTCCACCCCTGGTAGGTCTACATCTCCTTGCCCTCCAGCCCTGTCCAGGGCCTCTATGTGCTGGTTATATCTGCATAGGTGTTTAGCTCCCATGCCCCAACTGCACTAAGACTCCACCTAACCTGGCTTATATATGGGCTCTGACTCACCCATAACATCACTACAGGAGGGCTGTTGTAAGGGACCACCTGACAGCACCTCTATCAATCCCCTGGCAGAGCCTCCCCAGAGTGCGGAGTCTAAACACCGGAGCACTTGTTCACCAGGGCCCCTGATGGTGGGGATGGACTTGGAGCGCTCCGGTACCAGGTCGCAGCTGCTAGGTATCTCCAACAGGGGTAGAGGAGTCTGACAGGAGCTCCAGGGGGCTAAGAGTCTGATGTGAGGGAGCCTAGTGATCCCTGTGGGATGGATGGATGAGCTAAATCAGAGTCATACAGGCCGGGTCGGTAACTAGCGGGTCGGTGAGGTACATAACGGTAGGCAAAGGATAGTTGGGTCACACGCAGGGTCAATACCAAAAGATCAGATTTAAAGGGGAACATCAAGGAGCAGAGTCAGGCAGGCCAAGGGTCAGGACAGGAGAAGGCAGCAAGGTCAAACAATCCAGATCAAGATACTCACAACACAGGTAACCGCATACAAAGACCATTCGGCAACAAGTGTTTGTGCAGAGCTGGTTTAAATAGCCTGCCCTGCACCTGACAGGCGCAGCCTAGGTCCTAGTGCCTGCCTAGTATTGTCAAGACGATGGGTGCGCCTGGGTCCTAGTGCCCTGCCACCTACACATCTTGGCAGACACCTACGCCTGTGTAGACCCATGCGTCGCGATGGTCCCTGACAGCTGTAACTAAAAGGGAAGCTGTCACTTGCTTATAACTTTCCTCTATACAGGCTATAAAGGGAATAGAGTCAGCTAGTGGCCAGCCAGATAGCTAACCGCACCATTTTACATCTGCGTCTCCATTTAGATTTCTCCTAACTTCTTGACCATTAGTGCACTAAATCTAGTATTCTGGGAACATCAATTCCCCTATGAACAGCAGATAAGGTATTCTCAACTTCGTCCGCTGTAAGTTCCCCGAGAAAGAAAAGGAAATTGTACATCCCAGGATCACAAGACAAGAGTCTTCAGTCCTGCCAAAAAAAAGCACACATAAGAAACTTGGATGAACTTCCTGACATGGACGGTAGTAATGGTTCCTGGACTCCATTTGGGCTTCATTGATTGACTTCACTTGTTGGCTGGAAGAGCTTTTGAAAAATGAACAGAGGGTAATATAACATCTATGGATTAAGTTACTGGCCCATCAAAGACCACATAATCCTTAATCTGCGATTCCCTGCCATATTTAGAATGAATAGCTAGCGAGAGTGCACATAAAACAGTGTCCATGTTTGTAGAGATTTATCACTTAATTGCTCTTCCTCCACAATCCCGCTGAAACAAGATTGTCTACAGCCAGTCCCGCAGTCCACAGGAGAAACGGATAAACTTTATGTCTGATGCAATATAACCTACTGTCTAATCCTCTTTGCAGACCCCAGAGACATGCCCTGGCTGCCTTCCGTCCCAAAACATGGCTGTAAGATGGAAGATCTGCAAAATTAAGGAACAACGATGAAGGGAATGATTTCAGCCAAAAAAAAGAAAAAAAGGTCAAAAATAAAATAAAATAACCTCCGCAGTCAAAAAAATATTATCTCTCCGATAGAAGCTTCTCAGTTTCCACTTTTACGGTAATGGCATTAGTTTCAGTGCCAAACCAAAATCATCTTTGTATCCCATGAATCGCAGTTGTCACATTAATGTAATGGGAGTCTGCTTCGAAGGGGGAGACAATCCAAGCCAATGAATATTCTTTTCAGACACTGA